ATATTATGAGTGAAAGTGTTTATATAATATTTCATTTTTTAATAAGCATTGTATTTTCTTTTAAAAAAACATTGTATTCATATTTAATATCCATCTAATTAAATATACATTTTATATTTTGTTAAAAATTGTATATTTTAAAATAATAATTCTATTTCTTTGTTGACCGGGTTTTCCGGTGTTGACCAGGCTGACCCGTGACCCGGTCGTTCGGCCGGGTCGCTTCCCGGTCCGGTTTTTACAACATAGGTCCTAATCAAGATTTGGTTCTATTTTTGTCAATCCAAAAGTCCCTAATACTATTTTGACATTATTTCTATAACTTAATTGCATGCATTACCAATGTAAATGATGCACCATGATGACTCAATCGCCATAAAAATTGCCTCTGGGCGAAATTATTATGCATGAATCTTAAATAATTTTTGTACCCATACCGATAAACATATCAAACTATATTCCGAATCATAATTTCCTGTGGGATAAATATGACCATAGTCCGAAATTCTATCCTAATTAATCATACAACTATAACAAAATTTAATGTGGGATAAATAATGTAATATTACGTATAATTAATTACAAATTTTATGCCCAACTTTAATGTGATTTTCGCCAAGGGCTTCTTAATATATAATTTTAATTAATTAAGGATGTTGTGGCTACTCCAAAATTAATAAAATTATATTATCACAAAGGCAATCCTTTAAAGTTTAAAACAACAATCGTGATGGACAATCCCCTAATATGCTCCCAGGATAGTCGGTCGGGGCTAGATCAGTTCTTTAGATAATTAACAATTCAAGGGAAACTAGTATAAAAAAATTGAAGTGTAACTAGTTTTTTGTAACGCCCCTCTCAGGGTTAAAGGAAACGCTACACTAGCATACTACTTTTAAAAATAAACTGCAATATAACGGCCGTTTGTTTAAGAAATAACCCTGATAAATTCTCAAATATAACTAAAATATAACTCCAAATAAAACTCAATAAAATTCTAGTTATCACCAGCAAATGTGATAACCACCTGGATCCAGGAATTTATTCAAACTTCAAATAATCCAAATAAATACTCCAAACTTAATCAAATAATATCAATCACTTTTTATAAAACTGAAACACTTCAATAAAATAAACTAGCTAGGAGCCGCCAAGGTCGTTCTCGTTAACTCATCATGGCACGCGTCCCACTCTCTCATCGTCTTCCTAGGCCTTAGCCTTACCCTTAGTATCTGTACATGCGAAGAAAGAAACCGATAAGTTTTACGCTTAGTAAGTCACTATGAATCTACAAAAAATATCTAGAAGTCTATGCCAATTTATCAATAGATAAATTTAGGCTATAAGCATGCACTGAACAATTAACTAACACATAACTTCTCAAATACATTCTGAGAGAGATCTCAAAGGGAAAATATTTTCTAAAATATTTTCTCAAAACTGCTAGAGATCTCAAAATTTATTTCTGAAAACATCTCTGTAAAACTTTCTGAAAGAGATCTCAAAACAACTTTCTGTAAAACTTTCTGAAAGATCAGATCTCATAAATTTCTGTAAACTTTTTGTGACTAATTTTACTGTGGGCCCGTGATATGTACTCAAAGGCGCCAATCCGACAGCTCAGGGGAGCGACCCACTAAACATATCGGACTCTCTGAAACTGATAAACTGATAAACTGAGGGAACTTGTTCCCGAGTACATATCACCTGATCTTTCACTTTAAATATTAGTTCTTTTTATGGTAGTGACGTTTGATTAAAAACATCATTAAATCTGAAAATAAAAGTACTGACAAAACCTTGACTATGCCAGATAATAAACATAACTTAATTCAGCAATTAATATAACTCAGCAAATAATTCACCCGGTTCACATAATAGCATATAGACTAAAATCATCTATTAAAAATCAACCAGACTTCTTTCTTTTTATTTGGCTGAACAAACATGTATAGGTGGTAGTGAACTTACCTGTTAACGGCTGAACTCAAATTACTCAAATAAGTGTGACACCTTGATAACGTCTTCCGGTAAGCTCTTCACTTAAATCTTTATTTAGAATAGTCAAATATTAGAAATCTTTAATCTAATGAACCAAGGTACTGTTTTGATATATCTGTGTTAACTAAACAAATGAGTGGCGTACACCTACTAATAATTATAATAGATTTTACAAAATCTAACAGTAGTAGTCTTGCCTTCTAAATTTTTCTCTAGATCAGTTTGATAGTTAAATAAAACGGTTAAAACCAATAAGAACAAAATCGAGTCTTCTAAAACATTAGTAGTCTTGCACCAACAAAATCGAGTCTTCTAACCTCACAAAAGGAAATACTAATTTGACCATATGTGCATGATAAGTTAGTTTGAAGAAACCTTTAGATAAAGTGCTTTTAATCTAGCCAGATTTAGGTGAAGGTGAAAAGAAATACTGTACTTATTTAACTTGCTTTTAGAAAAACGAGGAGAGATTTAAAGTTAAATTATGAGTTGTTGTACCGCAGTGGGAAAACTATTTGAAAAACGAATCCAGCTGACAGAACGAAATATTGGGAATAAAATCAATTTATAGGAGAACCTATAAACTCTTAACTATCTGCGAAACCTCCCATAAAATTAGTTTGAAACCAGAAGAATCAATCAAATTTGACTAAATCGAGGCAACAACTGAGCTATACTACACGCGTTTAAACTCCACATCCTATTTTGAAGTTCTTCCTAGAAAACTCAGAGAGAATTATAACTTTAAGAACCTCAACTGCGCAGATTTAGAAAAAAAATAAACAATCTGCCGCCCAACAACACGAAAGCTGCTGCTAAATAAAAGATTTAAGCTTAAAAAATCATTTTTAATTTGTACGGCAAGACTGGTGTAGAAGCAATCTCTAGAAGAAAACCAAAATGTTCCAAATCAATGACTGGCATGTACTTCGTACCCAACCAAATTAGTTTAAATCATTAAAACAACACTTAGCCAATAAAATTATGTCATGCCCATCACTAGCAGCCAACTAATTTAAATCCAATACTCTCGAAAGGCATAAAGAAAGCAGGTTATGGAAGACATTTTGACATACCAGGTCTTCGTAGAGGAAGAGAAAGAAGAGAATAGGCTGCTTACGGAAGGAACGAACAAAATTTAGCTGCGGCAATTGACATTTATGTAACTTTCTAGGGTTTTGAGTTGAATAATGATTCGGGCTAAAATAACTAATTTGGGTCTCTTAGCCTTCCAAGAAATACTTGTGACCCAACTGAATAATAATATTTCCCTTTCTATAATATACTAAATGAATATTAAAATAATATTTCCTTCTTCGATTAAAATTTTTTATGAGCTTATCGGTCAACGTTACCTGCCAACAAATAAAACATGGAAAAAGAATACATCCATTATTCACACAAGTAACCCGTTTAGCTGACTAAAATAAATAATAATGATTAATATAACTGGCTCGAAAAAAATCGGGGTGTTACATTTTTACTTCCCAAGAGTTTTTCTGTAGAATAAAAAATCGGGGATAATAATAATTATTCCCAAATGTAAAATAACTAACGTTTCAAGTATAAGACCCAAACATAGGGTGATACATACACGTATAGTTCTTTCCCCAAGTTACAAAATACATATCAATATATATACACTTGGAAATACCCGACCCGTAGGTCATTGTTTATTTGGGAAAATAGTATAGTCAATATCCTTGACTTAAACCCCAACCCACCCATATACCTATGAGTGTATAGAACTCCTCCTTGTTCAAATCATCTTAGCTTGAGGACACCGTCCGGTCCTAAATTACAAATAGTAATCTATGAGTTTTGAGGATACATGCCCGATCCTTGGGTACTCCACCCTATATAACCGAGTTTTGAGGATAACCGCCCGATCCTTGGGTACTCCACCCTATAACCGAGTTTTGAGGATACACGCCTGATCCTTGGGTACTCCACCCTATAACCGAGTTTTGAGGATACACGCCCGATCCTTGGGTACTCCACCCTATAACCGAGTTTTGAGGATACATGCCCGATCCTTGGGTACTCCACCCGACTTATGAACTACCACATATCATCCTAGATAAGGTCTATATCATAATCAATAATCAAGACTAAACCAACTCTTAAAGCCTAAGCATAATCATCCATGCAATTCATGCATTAAAAATCAACATATAGGCAAAACAGTGCCAAACCGGCGCCGGTTTTGACATAACTGGCGCCGTTAATTAATTAAATTAATTAAACCGGCCATGCTGATCCATAACCGGCGCCGGTTTTGCCTATAACTGGCGCCGGTTACCCCCTGGACAACCTAGTTAACATTTTCATTGACTCGCCATTTCAAACCCAATTCGTGTCAAACTTAATCCCAACGTGTATTAAGTTATAACCAAGCATTTTATGCCTCTTTTATCCCTTAAAACATCATATATGTTTCTATAAACATTTTCACATCATACTTCATTTATGATATCAATGGGTCATTCATATAAGCCTAATCACTTTGGATAATCACATGTTTAAGCATCTTTTAAACATCATATCATTATGAACACATATAACATTTACTTAGGTAATCTCATAATTAACCCAAGAGTTATAAGACATTAAGCCGTCCACTCACCTCGAATGAGCGTGATGAAGTTCTACCCTTCTCGGTTGAACTCCGGCCAAACTCCGGCGAACTTTGACGAAGTCCGGCGATAACTCCGGCGACTTTTTAAACTTCGTGAAGGCTCTTAAAAAAGAAAAATGAAAAATGAAACAATGTTAGACGGCTAATGTTAGGAATTTGTGTGAACCAATTAAGTTTAAAAGTCTGTGGAGTTGCTTCACTGCATATGGTCTAACCGTCTAACAACCCAAAAGCAAACTTTTCTCCGGTCTCTAAGCATGTACACAATAACATCTTGAATTTGAAATCTTTTTGCGGTGATCCATTAATTTAGCACCACCAATGACCAATCTTTCTACAACTATAAATGCATGCATTAGAGAAAACGAAAAAATGAGCTATACAAAGGAAGTGTCTATATATTAATTGATAGGCATTGTCAATCTAGTAAAGTAGAAATGGCCAATTCAAGAGGCATCAACTTTGTGGTCGTTGCAGTTTTCATGGCACTCCTCATAGTCACACCAGCTGTTTCGGTTGCAGCAAAGGAAACAAGCTATGCAGACAGCAGGAAGTTATTATCAACACAAACTGCTAGTGACGAAAGCAATAAGCACCCGATTCCGACTAACGAATATAGTCGAGGCTGTAACGCCATTAATCGATGTCGTGGCGATGACTAAAATGAAGGCTGCTCTTTATTAGATGAATCCACACCGGATTGCAGACAATGTAAATCACTTCTATTATATTGTAACACATATGTAAGCTCATGTTGCATGCATATCGACTATGATAATAATTTTTTTAATAGAAGTTTTCAAATATTATGTTCCTAAAATGCCTCAGATTCGTTCTCAAGTCCATAGTTCATTGTGCTTAAAAATGGCTTTTGAAGATGATGTCTCACTTTGTGATTGGACACACGAGTCCGTTTGGTAATACCCAAATCAGTTGTATTGACTGATTCTGGTGATTTGTGGGGGATTTAAAATACATTTTATTAATACAATAAAGAAAAAACTATATGAAAAAATAGCTAAAATAGTCATCTACAGTCACTTCAACCAATACAGTCAGAAAAGTAACTCCAAATTGAGCGCGCGAAACCAAAAATTGTTGATAAGCCTGAAAAACCAAAAATCATGATTACCAAACGGGCTCTACACACACTGTGTAACTAAGAACTAGCTAGGTTAATCAATAGTATTTGCACACAAATTCAAATAGCTTATTGTATTATTAGCTTTTCGCCTTCACATACTACACAATTACGACTTTCTTACTATGTACATGTTAAACCCCGTTTGATTGGCCAAATTTGCTAAATCTGCTGAAATTGATAAAATTTTGGCTGAAATGATTGAATCTTCCAAATTTTGAAAAAATTATATTTGAAATATATTTAATTAATAAAAATAAAAAAAACTATATGAGAAAATAGCTAACATGATCTTCTAGAGCAACTTCATGCAATTAACTAAGAAAATTAAAGTAACTTCAATTTTACTTATTTTGATTATTACATAGTTTGACGTGCAAAATCAAAAGTTACCAAACGGTGGAGTTTTAATTACTTAACGTACTTCTTCACTCAACGGTTAAGTACTACACATCCTCATGTAAAAAGTTCTATGTTTGTGTAACATGTTTGGAGTAATACATAACTCATACAATTGATGTTATATAAAGCAGGGGCGTATCTATGGTGGGGGCGGGAGGCAGCTGTCCCCTCTCAACCGAGTTGTTATACTGTGGGATCATCCCACAGTGAGCATCCTACTCCCACATATAAAATGGTGTCATTTAGATTTAAGCTTTAATTTAAAAAAAAAATCACGTGAACAGTACCCTTACATTTGTCTCAACTTTTTCGTGATGCATGTAAATCCTTTGTATTGATATGTAACTCGCGTTATTGTAAAATGTAAATCCAGTGTTTTCAAACGTAACTCACACACTAGAGTATGTATCTTGTTTTGTTCTCTCTACTTGTTATACCACTTGAAATATACATTTTGGGGGGGGGAGATTTGAGAAATGAGATGGAACGATGCCTTTATGTGTTTTTGGGTAATTAGTGCGCAATTGAAGAAGATCTGGCTAGTTAGAGTAGACTCCCCTGAACTCAATGAAATCATGGCCCCCTATTTGGGCAGTAAGTTTGTTGCGGATGACTGATGAGCTTGAAATTTTTCACGATAGGGAGGAGCTCAAGAACTAATACTGAAACAGTAGGGAGGAGCTCACAATGGGGAGAAGCTTGAAATAATTCAGTCGGAAGAGACTGAATTTTATAAATCGAAACGACACCGTATGGGATCGCACACCATGCGCAAGGTGGATCGATCCCACGGTATAATTTGCACGTTCAACTCCATCCAACCCCATTATATATATAGAAAATATTTTGTTGTATAGACATATTGTTGTTCTACATAGGGTATACATAGTTATAAAACCCCATAAAACTACATAGTTATGATTTTTTTTTTTTTTTAGTTATAAAACCCCATATTAGCTAGTGTGCGTTGACGCGTGGTAGACTGCGGGAAGGAGTGCCGCCCTTTCTATCAAGCGGTGTAGGACTGTAGTTGGAATTTTACAGGGCACTTTTTCAGCGTAATTTTTTCTCTTTTGAAGCTTTCTTTAGATTTTAGCTTAAATTTAAGATCCAAATTAATTTAAAATGATGTTTTCAAGTGTAAATTATAAATGATAGTCCAATTGATTTAAGGAGTATGTAATTTCAATCACATCTTCTCACGCTTAATAATTAATAGTAAAACATACTTATTTATTTGCAACTTAACTTAGTTACAATTACATATTTCATCGGTTTCTTACATATTTTATTAAACAATTGATTGTCCAATTAACTTTTATTTCTGAACATTTGTGTGATGGTATTTCAGTGTCAATTTATCCCCCACCTAATTTTCTGGATACGCCGCCATTGATATAAAGTATGAGACGAGCGGTGGCGGAGTCATAAAAATGGCCCATGGGGTCAAAAGTAAACGACTTCCTCCGTCCCAATATAAAAGACACATTTCCCTTTTCAGGCCGTCCCAATATAAAAGGCACATTTTCCTTTTTGGCAAACAAAGCAGTGCAAAACAGTACCAACAGTGTCAAAACAGTGCCAAACAGTGTCAAACAATGTCCAAACAGTGTCAAACAGTGTTCCTCCTAAAAATGTTAGAAAACGCAAATGCGCTCTTTATATTGGGACGGAGGGAGTATATACAAAATGAAAACGATGTAACGTTTTTAGACAATGTGTGAGTTGATTATTTCATGTGTAGTTTAGATAAATAGGCACTCGTAACCATGTCACGCAAGTAATAAATTAATATACGTTATTTTTAAAATTTGGGAACATAATCAATATTACACATCAAATTTTGTTGATTTTACGTTTAGATAGTGCTGATTTTATAGAAGTCATAATTTTTTACCCGTAATGAGTTACGGGGGTCGTAATATATTAAATCGAAGGTATTTCAGAGCTCTATATCTCACATTTTCAGCGAGATTGGCTGACCATCCTGACCCCATTGGCTCCGCCCCAGGAGATGAGAGTCGTATTTATCCTTTCTGACAATTTTGGACAAAGTAATTTTTTGAACAATGAGTAATAGTGAGGGACATTGTTGTGGACAATGAAAAGCTATTAAAAGAATAGAGAAGATGTGTAATGCTTTTGCAAATGTGAATCAAAGGTGATGTGTAGTAAATCGGATGAAGTGAACCGTGACTCAACAAACAATAGGACAGATCACATGAGGCCGAGGTCATTTGGCGTCCTTAATTTTTTGAAGAAAGTTTTTGAGCATGTTACTCATCCAGTCTAGTTTATCTATACCAAATTTCAGCTAAAAACGCAATTGGGAAGGCAGTGAAATAAATTCTCTATCAAAACTGCGTTGTTTATGTATATATAAAGTGCAGTTTTTGTAGAGAATTTATTTGACTGGCTTCTCGATTGAATTTTTAGCTGAAATTTGGTATGAATAAACTAGACTTGATGAGGAACATGATCAAAAAAATTCACCGGAAAGGACCTCTGATGGCCTCGGCCGAACGGCGAATCGTTTCAGGCCGGCCTGACAGGAACGCTACTCCGGAAGGCAATATATTATCGTGGTGTTTGTTGAATTCTCTTTTTCTTTCTTTTCATATAAGCCTATAAGGTAAAGATAGGGCAATATATTTATCAGTGTGCCTTGCACGTGACAATGAGTCAATGAGCAGTGTATTTAAGGGAACTGGGAGGTAAAAAAGACAACACTTGAAAAGTTCTAGAAATAAGAGTAACAAGTTCTGGAATTATAAAATAGAGTTATTAGTTATAATTATCACTATAATTATAATTGTAATTGTAATTGTAATCGTACCATTTAAAATATGTGAGGTTATTTTAATTTGATCTCATCATTTATGTTTAGAGCATGTCTAATTCTACAATATGCACTGTGAACATTTGACATGAGATAGATAAACATAAAAAATCAAATTTATAACATTTCTCTCTCCTTCTAAGCCATGTAGGTCTTATGTATTTTTGGTATGTTTTTTTCAACAATATCAACCACAATGTTTACATCTAAACATTGTATTTGACATTGTGAAAGAAAATTTACCAAAAACATATAAGACCATTCAAATAAGGAGGGGATATTCTATTTGTTGTTTTCTAATGGACTATGTCTCATGCCTCGTATGCACCGTTCATGTTTTTGCATTAGAGATGTTCTTAGTCATATTTTTACTTAATGCAACCATTTGCATGGTGGGTGGAATGAGAGAGATACACAAAAAAACAAATTATTTACATTTCTCTTTGTTTCTCTTTGCGGTTTTATATAATTTGGTAACTTTTTTTTACAACAATATCAATCATAATGTCTACTTCTAGGCATCTATCTTGACATTGTGGAAAAAAAACTTACCAAATCACATAAGACCTTTCAAATAAGGGGAGATATATATAGTTCATTAATATTTACTACCTCCGTCCCACTAAGATTGGGACAAGAGAAGGTGACACGATTATTAAGAAAAGTGGGTTTGTGTGGTTGATATAAATGATACAGTAAAAATAAAGTAAGAATGATTTAGAGTCACACAAACTTTACCAAATTTGGTATGAGACAATTTTAGTGAAACTTACTGAAAAGATAAAATGGAACAATCATAACAAGACAGAGGGAGTATATGTCTATCTCTCATACCACATATATAGTGTGTGCATATGACATTGGAGATGCTCTCATAGTTTGATAGTGAATATAATGTCGATGCTTGAAGATAATCTTTGTTTGATATCCTTTAATTAAAACCCCACACATTACATTGCCAATCGTATTAATATTAACTACGAGTACGTAGTATTAAGCGAGTAACCTACCTTATTTGGGGAAGGGAAAACCACATAAAACCATTTGTAGTGGTCAAGAGTCCAAATAGTTATATACAATTAGGAGTCCAAAAATTTGGACTCCCTTCATATGAAAACAGTATTTAGACTTCGTCAATACAGTGTTTTCCTGCATATTTTTTACATATGAATTTAGTAAAACATTAATTAAATTATTACAAGTAATGTTTTTACTTTTAATTTTTCCCCTGAATAATTATATAATAAAAAATACGCATTTTGATGTAAAAATAAATAATTTTCATAATTTTTTTAAAACATTTTCCGGTTAAAAATGAATTTGTTTAAGTGAAGTTCGATTATAGATTATTCAGTTATTTGTGAAGGCTCCATGAATTAAAAATTTGTATTTCGTTTTTTTAGCTCAAGAAACTGCAACAGTTACAATTTCAAAAAAATCATTTTATACGTCACATATGGATGTCATATGAAAGATCATAAAAATTAATGAATTTTGATATATTTTTGGAAAAATTTAGATGACAAATAAAAAAGTTATGCAAGTTTTAAAAAAATTGGGATATAATGATGCAAGGGTTATGCCAGCGTGATATCATCCTCAGTCCTCACCAATAGAAAACATGCAGCCAATCTGTGGTGCCTTTCTTTTTCTTTTTTCTTTAATTTTTTCTTTTATCCACTCCTCTAAACTCACCCTCTACATTTAACACCCTACATCCCCATTCCCACTGTTACTACCCTTTTAAACACCACTACACACAATTAGGAGTCCAAAAATTCCACGTTTAACATTTTGTACTCCTAATACCTCACCACTCCAAATGACCAACACAATATTCAGTCCATTGTGGTATGTGTCATCTCATCTATCTTTTGATATTTATTGGCAAAGATAATTGAGAATTGAACCTACGTGGTTTCGTACATCTCTGACGTGTTGGGGACTCATCAATTCATACTCCTCTCTGTCCTTACAAATATCCTAATGAATATCTCAGCAGCGAGAAAAGGGGCAAATGAGACCACATATCAATCAAAAAAAAGTCAAATAAGACCTTATTTAAGAGGCACTGTCCGGCCATCGCCATTTGGGGTGATTCCCGGTGAAATTTTTTGATGGGATTTTTTGAGTATCTTATTCAGTAAGTCTAGTTTACTCATACCAAATTTCAGTTAAAACTTCAATCGGGAAGACATTCAAATGAATTCTTGAAGATAACTGCACAATTAAAAGCGCAGTTATCTTCAAGAATTCATTTGAATGCCTTCCCGATTGAATTGTTAGATGAAATTTGGTATGAGTAAACTAGACTTAATGAATAAAATGGTCAAAAAATTTCATCAAAAAATTCCACTGAGAACCACTCCAAAATGACGAAGGCCGGACAGAGCCTCATAAATAAGGCCTTATTTGACCTTTTTTTTGTTAGTACATGACCTTATTTGCCCATTTTCCCTATTTAATGAGTGTGTTTCAACGTTCTTTAAAGGTGTACTGCCTTCATTAATTGATTTTTATTGGGTTCATGTCTTTCACCTTATGATCATCTATGACTATTCTTACTCAAAAAAAAAAGTGATGTGGTAATAGGGGTGAGAATGAGACGGTATCACATATGAGACATTTTTCTTAAAAAACGTGTTCCGTGACTTCCGTCTCAAACTATGATCCTATAAAAAAATTAAGATACTGATTCTGTCTTAAATATATATGGGACATGTCTTGTTTCGTACCAACATTCAGTGATCACGACACTATAATAAAACATATATTAACTATAAGAAATGATTATAAACTAATGACTAAAATAAACGTCGTTTACAAAAAATATTACCTCCTAAATGTAGTGACCATAATAGTAACTACGGTACTATTATAGTAACTTATGTTCAATTTTTATACCTAAGTAGTGATTGCGACAATATAATATATGGAGTACTATATTGTAACTTTAGCCATATTTTTGTAAATATGTTTTACTTCAGAAAAATGTTTAAAAAATCTTCTAACTATAGAACAATATATAGATAATAAATTTTAAAATGTTCTATAGACTCTTCTACTATTTTTAATTCATCACTTAAGTTGATATACTAAAAACACTATCAAACGAGTATGTTTACTTATAATCAAGCCATTTTGAGTTTCTATACAAGTTACTTTAAATGAATTAATTTAAACCATTGATAAACCTTAAAAATTCATATAGATTTGAAAAATGTAATAACCATATACAAAATAGTATAAATATTAAAAAAAAAAGATAAACAATTTTAAAATGTTAATATAAAAAATAAAAAATAATGCGAGTGTAAAAATATAAAATTAAAGTGTAATAACTTTAAAAGAGATGCAAAAATGTAAAAATAAATTCAAAAATTAAAAAAATATAGACTTTTATATTATAAAATGATTCACTATTTTTTAAATTTCTTCGAATTTTAAAAAATTCTTAAGAAACAATAATATAAAAAATTGTGACTAAAGGTCAAAAACCAATTAAAAGACTAAATTGATTGAATTTTCAAAGTAAGTGTACTTATATGGTATTTTTTAATGATTGGGATTAAGCGAAATATTAGTGGAGAAAATGTAAAAATGATCATCATAGTTAATCATGAATAACCATAAGATCATAATTATTTACAACATACTGCGAGAAACTTAAATAAGAATATTTATCATAATTAATTGTTTGTATAATAATTTATAGGATTCAATATAGTCATTAATTGAGTTGAGTTGAGTAAATGTAGGTTAAACCAATGATATTTTAGACTTACTTTTCTAGCTATGTATTATATATAATATGATATACATACGAAGTACTATATATTACTCTGTCTATGACATAATTGGATCTTTATGATGGTTAAGAATATTTTGGTTTGATACGCTCGTGAGATGGTTCTCAGCCATGGTGCACCAATACTTCACCGCGATGTTGTATCCGCGCTGATACTCACCGATACGCGTCTTGTGCGTATTGGGTCCATATCCATAATTTAATAAAAGTATCGGGTTTATTTTTAAAAAGGAAAAATTGAAAATAATAATCCCAACTATTACCAGTCCGCTGAAAATAATCCCAACTATTGATTATTTTTGTATAATCCCAACTATATAGACTATCCGCCAATAATGGTCCATGACCATATATTACCTCTATAAAAAGTGAATTTTAAATAGAAATTAAGCGTAAAAATTAAAAGTTGAGATTATTTATAGGGATTACTTGTTATATCTCATCTCATTCACTTTAGAAACTACAAGAATTTATTCATAGGGACCATTATTGGCGGAAAGTCCCTAAAGTTGGGATTATTCTGTAATAATCAATAGTTGGGATTATTATGAGCGGACCACCAATAGTGGGGATTATTACTATCAATTTTTCCTTTTAAAAATATTGATATTTCCGATACCCGTATTCATGAACCGATAAGTGTATATGACCATATAATTCCCACTTCATACATGACATGACGAAAATTTAGTAGTCGCCCAAGCGACCACAAGATGTGGAACATTGATAACGATGATTTCGGGAGTATAGAAAATATTGGAATACTATAATTTGTCATTTTATCGCTTGATGAGTTTTAATTGAAACAAGACTTAGATGTAAATGCAAATAAAGAACAAAAATATATTATTTGAATTTAAATAAAAATATCAATACTTTATGTTGTTAGCCTAATCTTTGAAAATTTATTTATGTATATATTTACTTTTTTGTACTATTATTATTTTATTTATGAACCTCTGAATTATATATATTTGCAAATTATACACTATATTTTTATTATTTATAAATATACTCACGTACCCGTATCCTATAATTTTTTAAATTGACGTATCCTGATACATGTATTCGCGTATCGGCGTATCGGCGTATCCGTATCCATGCAACATAGGTTCTCAGTGAACAACTCGTACTGTATTACTCTCTTCGTATCTATTTAGATGACACATTTGCTTTTCACGGAGTTTAAGACAATTATTGTAGACAATTACGGTAGCTGCTTTTTTAGTGGAATTCTTTCCAAAAAAGGAAAAGAGCCAATTAATTTGATAATCCAAAAAAAAGGAAAGTGTGACAACTAAATAGATACAGAGAGAGTATATACGAAATATTATATACTTCATATAAAATTTGATTCAATCCGGTATGTGTGACATCTAAGTCTTGTTTCAATTAAAACTTTTAATAGTAAATTTGTCATTTTATCACTAATCCGGTGGAGTCATGGGCTCTAAATCCCAATTCTCAAGCCAAGACAAAAGCCAAGGAAAGAGTTATTCAGAAGGAAGCAGCTCAAAGAATGGCTTGATTGTTAAATCGTTGTAGTATTTTCTATTTTGACATGGTGTTATTTGTTGTTATTCTCAATTTTCAGGACAACGGAACATCTTTTCAAAAAAAAACACTCGCTTCAAGTATTACTTTCTATAATGCTCACCAAAAGAGCTCATAATATAGGTCTTGAAACTCAATCCCAAAATATAAACCATGTTTTGATAAAAACTTGGGCGTCAGTGTTACATTGAAGGTTGATAGTCCCCAATATGCAAAAGTGACCTTGAACTTTAAACAAAGAAAACTCAATTGACCATGTTGCTTGAATGTTTAGTTTCCCAAGTACTTGGGCATTAGGCATGAAGTAAATGGCAAAAGGTGAAAGTTTACACTAAAAAAATTAATAAAAATTACAGGACGTTGTATTGAGCTTCAATTCGGCTCATGACAGCTTTAGTGTATATGTCCACATAAGATATTGTCAAAACTGAGAAAAAACCAGAGTATATTTCACGGTTTTCACCTATTCTAAGATGATGCATATATACATGAGCCACAGTATTACCATATCAAATATTGTTTAATGCATTCTGATATGCATCTGAGTCTGAGATGATTTATCCATGTGTCAAAAAAATCATACCAGCTATCGTCAAAAATTATTTCCTGCATTTTGGAATGCACAGAAATATCTCAAAAATTTCAAGATGCATTTGCAACTTCTAAACGAAATAAATACTAACATCCCATAGAAGAAATAAGGGTATCAAATGAAAATTTCAAGTTAAAAATTTCAAAATACAATTCTTTACTGAAATGCTTTAAATATTTGATACTCCGCATAACACACATAAAAATTACACTTTACGCAAACACTTCAAGGGAAAAAACGACCATAAAAAGGAAAAGAATATTCAATTTATAATATTATCAATAATCTATTATATAAGTACTAACTAAGATGATAGTTAATATATATTAAAATTTATACACATTAAGATGATACTTCATTTTTTTAGAATCCACAAGCACACTCATATCTGTATGCTATATTTTCTTACATAATTTGAATCAATGCATCCAGCATTTTCTATCCATGCTTTTGCCAAAAAGCCAAATGAATCTTATTAGAATAAGGTCTGTTTAACAAAACGTTCACACTTGGCGAAATACAATCTCCCCAAAATAAAACACTCTACTTAAAAATTTAGAGGTTTTGACAACCATGAGGATGATCGAGTAGTGGCAGCAAAGAGTAGGAAGCTCTCTATATACACATACATACTTAAAAGGAATACCACCTTGAGACTATGTTCCTAGTATGCACAATTATCCTCGCTAGAGTAAAATGGCAGATATTTATTTACATGATAAACATTAATGCTTTCCCCCTACCTTTGATTATTATTTAGTCAGTCTAGCCCAGCACCCTCCTCAATTCGGATTTCTGATCCGGTCTCAGCCTGGAAGGGAATTTGATCTCAAACTTCACCTTTAAGTTCCCTTTGTTACCCGGTTCTTTTGATATTGGCATTCCTTCATTGGGAATAACTTGCTCATGACCTGGCTTGATGATGTCGGTTATTGGTATTGTTAAAACTCTTCCGTCCAATGTTGTCAAGCTGATGCTACTCCCTGTGAGAGCATCCAGTAAGGAAATTCGGTGATGGGCGATGAGATCATTGCCATCCCTCTTGAAGACAGCATGTGGTTTTTCCTCCACAACGAAAACAAGATCTCCAGGGGCACAACCGGGCTCATAGTTCCCTTTCTCAGGGAAAGTGATTTTCGTTCCTTTCTTCCAACCAGGTTTTATATGTATTGCCAATAGCTCCTCAACTGTCACAGGCTTACTGCAATCCCAAAATGCACAATTACTTTTTAAACAGCAAATAAATAACAGTCCCTCCATCTCGGAATTAACTTCCTGTTTTCCTTTTCAGTCTGTCTCCAAATAATCTCGTCTCTTTTTAAGAAAATATATATAAGTGGTTCTTATCACTTCATTTATTTCTCCCCAAATCTTCCCCACATTTTCCTTTTCGACTACTTTCTTAATAAGCCTGCCAAGGCTGAAGAAGAGCTGTATTTCAGGACTGAGATTCTAATAAGGTGCATAAAAAAGATGCAACAGCACAACTGTTGGACCCTATGCCCAATCAGTCACATTAAAGTTATTTGTTACATACTCCGTATTGAGTTTGACAAGGATTACATGTATGATAAGTCTGATAAAATATGTGTATTATGCCTATTCTGGTTATGTGGTTGGTAGCTATCAATATCCAACTACCAACTCTTAGTATCTGTACTGTTTACTGCTCCTTGACATCCCAAGAAAATTACCCTCTTCATCCCAAAATGTGAACGTTGCTGTTAGTATTCACTAAGGCTACTCTTTTTGTCTTTTTTAGATGGAGTAGTAGAAGTGGATCCTAGTGAATCTCTAAACTCACAAAACCATACATTCATAAGATTATTGAAAAAGAAAAAGAAATCAAAATTATAAAAAAAAAGGTTGGAGAAATTAATTACTCCCGCCGTCCACAAATGTCATACGTAGTACGTAGTAGTATTTTAAAACTCTACTTGTCCCCGGAGTAAGAGATGTATTTAAATAAAAGGTCTCATTTAAATTCTCAAAATAATGTAAAAACAGATAAAACATGGAATTCAACTGCAAACAGTATCCAGTTGTTTTCTGCATCAGTGTATTTCTCAGTCTGAAAAGTTTTTGGTGTAAGTGACTTTGTGCAAGACTTTTTGGCTCTAAATTCAACAAGTCTTTTGCTCACAACGGCATCACCTTTTCTTTTTTTGTTTGATTCTAGTTTTCTAACTAGAATGCCACAGTTAAGAGAAAAAGCTGCCGACCTCATATCATCTACAGCTAATCTGTACCAAATGACAAAATATGAGGAAAATGCATTTCTCCATACAAAATTCCATTTTTGTAAGTCAAAAATTCTGTTCAACAAGACGTATTAGATGAAACTACATTAGTTTTAGATGGAATTTGGTAACCAGTATGAGCATTCAGTAGTCCGTATTAGCTATCTAGTACATAGAGATTGCAGACTTTGCAACAGAGAAGCATCCATAGTTTAGCAATATCCATTTCCCATTTGGTTTATTTTATCATTTATTACAGAGAAAGTATCTATGTAGAGCTTCATAAACAGATATAGCCAGTTTTGTGGTAAGTAATCGTTAAGTATGGAAATCCGTACATGTGATGCACATAGATGGGCTGGTACATACCCGGAGTCATCAAGAACAATCCTTGAAATCTGCATTTTCCTCTTCGACCCTTTGTACAGCTCCTCCAAGCTACACGGGAGCTTGTTCTCCACCGGCGCCGCCTTCCGCGGCGTTCCCCTCTCCCTACCGGGATCAATAGGACTCCCTCTGTACCCTCCCTGCGGAACGCCGAAGAACTCGGCGAATATATCATCGGCATCGCGGGGATTATACTTAAACCCTTGCGCGCCGCCTCCAGCGGCAGCAGCAAAAGTGGGCGACGCCGGATCGAACTGGCCGGCCTTCAAAGCCTCCTCGCCATACAAATCATAGATCCGCCTCTTCTGCGCGTTGCTGAGCACGTCGTACGCCTCGGATATCTGCTTGAACTTGGCCTCTGCCTCCTTCTCGTTCTCGCCGTTCTTATCCGGATGCCACTTCATCGCGAGGCGCTTGTAGGATCTCTTCAAATCCTCATCGGTGGCGTCCTTGGGAACTTTGAGAATGTTATAGTAATCGACGCCCATCCCGCTGCCCCTTCCCGATCCGATCAAAGCGAAAAACAGAGTCCACCTTGGCGTCAGTAACAATTGGGGAAATGTGGAGTCCTGAGGAAGAATCCCGAAGGAGGGTTATATAGAGATGTACTAGTATTAGAAGGCGGCTGAAATCCCCGGAAAATCCGCCGGAGGATGTCACCCGTAAAAGCGAAAGCGTAGGGCTGTGGAATGGCAGATGTTGCGGTGAGATAGGCGGAGGAAGTTATGACTACGACGGTTCACTTCTATGTCGGAGGTGGGGTGGGTGGGGGTGGGGGTGGGGTACCCCCATGGAGGATAGGGGTGGGAGGACAGAAGATGTGGTTGTGGAGGGTTGAGGACGTGGAGGCGGGTGGGGTGGGGACAGAGAGAGAGAGTATCCTGTGCTGCTGTAACAGAATCTGCTTTGGCTTCGCTGAATGGATCATATGGCGACTGGACACTTGGACAACGACATCGTTCGATGCCTATCCGATCACCCGGATTCTATTTTACCTCTTGGGCCACTGGAAAAAAAATGGATGACACATTGACACTCCATCTCCAAGGGCTCCCAACATCGATCGGACGGCACGATCAGGGCTGTGCCTGTGCCTTGTTAGAGGCCAGTGAGGAAAAGGCCTCAGAGCCCCAAAAATATTGAAAATATAAGGGCCCATAGTTCAAAATATCTTCCTATTATTTACATGTATTTAAATTATAAAAGATGTGTCTTTCTTTAAATTCTATGTGTTGTGCTTCAAAACTAAAATAGCCGATCAAGTACCAACAAAGTGAAGCGGAACGATTGACATAAGTTTTGACTTTTGAAATTGTAAAGATAAAAAGGTTATGACCCTAATTTGAATTTGTTTTGCACAATGAAAAAGTTTTTTTTGTCCTAATTGGAGTGCTGAAATTGTTCCAAGGGTCATTTCTGATGGCATTGATTGATCCATAGCTTTTTTATTTTTGCAACTTGATTGATCCATGCTTAGAAAATCCAGCTTGTGTTTAATTTGGCATATTTAAAAGAATTGAGATGCACAATTAAACAATTTCAGTTTTTTTACATTTAAAATTTAAATTTTAAGTAGGTTATGCACTCGTATTTACTAACATGTCAGTATGTATTATTTAGCACATTTGTTTAACTAATACTCCGTATTAGTTTCAACGTTTGTTTGACATTTTGTGAATTAGTTATGTTATCAATTGACAAGTAATTTATTGAGCACTTTGATTAATTTATACTTTTGCGACTAATATTGTTTGAGGGTTTATACTTAATTAGTTATTTTAAATACATTTGGTAATGTTATATTGCACGTAGTATTATGTAAAAAAATTATTTTATTAATTACTTTTTGATGTTTTATCTTTAACTTCAAAACAAATTATACTACATATTTACATAAAATTGTACGGAGTAATTTATAGTCTTTCAAAAAAATTGTACTCCCTCCGTCCCGAAAAGGTTGGTCAAAGTTGACTTTTACGTGGATTAATAAAGTAAAAACTGTGTGGTTGAAATTTGTGCAGAGGAGAGAGAATTAATGTTAGCCACATATTTCTTACTTTAAATGGAAATGACAAATCTTTTTGGGACATCCAAAAAAGAAAATTTGGTCAACCTTTTTGGGACGGAGGGAATAATATATAGGGGTCTTTTTAGGTATCTCGACTCAGGCCCAAACTTGGGTAGGATCGGCACTGGGCACGATGTGAGGACACATAGAGAGTGATGCTCTGTTTCCGGTACTTGTAGAGACCATATACATTTTTAGCATAGAAACCTCTCATCGCAGTTGTCAGGATTCGAACATGGAACTTAACTCTTGTGACACTCTCTCGCTACCAGTTAAGCTACGCCCACCGGTACCTATTGGGCCACCGGAGAAACTTAAGTTGGGCACCGTGAAAATGTAGCGGTACATCAATATATAAACCATGCATAAAAAGATGTAAATCGAAAAAAAAAACATTGAATGCCTTAAAAATAATATAAATATACTACGTATTAAAGAGATTACAAAACTACGGAGTATTATAGAAAAAAGTATATGAATTTGAAAAAATGCTCAAAAGCAAATAGTGTATGAATATGAATGTGATATATTTATTTTATTTATATTAATAAAATTTTCGTTATGAATTGATAAAGAATAAAAAAAATAGATTGATTTATAATTTAAATTGAAGATAAAGAAAAATAAAATTGCAATTATATATTTAGAATTTTGATGGAGGACAAAAAAAATGAACATTAGAAAAATAAAGAAGTATTCCTTTTGTCCCAAAAAATTGTTCCCGGTTTTCTTTTTGGGTCGTCCCAAAAAATTGTTCCGCTTTCTATATTAGGAAAGTTTTTACACCCAAAACCCCATTTTGCCCTCTTAAACATTTACCACACCCCCCCCCCCCCCCGCCAACCTTATCGGTTTACACCACATTTCTTATCCTCACGCCCTAACTCTCTCTCATCTTCCTCGTTACCACTTCCCATCCTTCCTTTGAAGCTTCATCATACCGCTGATACCACTTCATCCCTCTCTTACAGTTTTCCGGCCATTTTCTCTCCTCTCCTTCCCCTCTTGAGTTCGTTGAACTCTATTTCCTTCTCTGATTTCAAATCATGTCTAACCCTAGCTTATCTGTTGATCTAATCGTAGGTCCTAATTCCAAATCCCTTAATCCGACTACCATGGAAGATCTGCCTGCAACAAATGCATGCATGGACGATCTGATGGTTCCGGACAGTGAACAGGACTCAGAATACTACCCTGGTCAAGGCCCGATGGAGGTTATGGTTCCGGACAGCGTTGTGGAGCCCCTGTTCCTAGAGGGCAAAGGCCCAGAGGACCTTGTGGTCCCGGACAACGTTGTCGAGTCCCAGGTTCCAAACGGAGGAGGTACAGAAGAGCTTGTGGTTGCGGACAGTGAAGAGGAGGTAGAGGTGGAGGCCGGCGACGCTACGACGGAGCTTATGGTTCCGGACACTGAAGAGGGGTGGGAGATGACGGAGAAGGACATGGGGGAGAAGCTGGCAAAAATACGAAAGGAGGTGCAGGAGCAGTACATTCGCCATCCTATGCTAGAGGAGTTCTTAAAACTGATCCTACCCGGCTGAGAATCAAGGATGTAGGACGTTGATACCTAACATGGGAGTTTGTTTCTGTTTCTGTTTCTCTTTCCCAATCTGTCATTCATTTGCATTGATTCTCTGTATGGGCAGTAAATTGTTGTGGTAATGTTTGTCCGGGTTGAGTAGATGTTTTTTATTCTGGGCAGCAATGATGATTTTAGGGTGTTCTTATCTACTGAAATGTCCTTCTTGTGATGCATATACGGTCTGAGCATTGTTGTTATGTGGCTTGAATGAGTAAGGGTTATGTGAGGCTGGTATGGCTAATATGGTTAGTGCATGTTTGAATTGTATGACTGAACTTCATTGTTACTCATGTTTGTGTGCCTAAATTGTCGGAGTAAAGGATGGCATCACACTGCTATGATGTCAGGCTGCTATGTTGTTGCTGTGATGACCTTCAAGGTCTGAGCATTGGTTGGTTGCTATGTTGACATGTAATGGTCTGAGCATGATAAAGTACTGCTATGATGACCTATAATGGTCTGAGCATGGTTGGTTGCTATGATGACCTCTAATGGTCATGATTTGTTGCTATGATGAACTGTAATGGTTTGAGCATTATGGTTGTTATGATGAACTGTAATGGTCTGAGCATTATGGTTGTTATGATGACCTCTAATGGTCTGAGCATGGCTGGTTGCTATGATGGCCTCTAATGGTCTGAGCTTTGTTGTATGTATGGTATGAGGCTGTTATGATGCATTGTGTGACAGCTTGTAGTTGTTCCCCCTGCACTTTCATTATCTCTACCATGACATATTGATAACTTAACCACACCTTGTTGAGAGTGGCGAGTGAAAGCTGGTAGAATGCTTCATCTAATGCCTTTAACCGTTCATCCACATTCTTAATTAGGTGCTTGTTGGTCTTTCAAAGACTGAATAGCCCTAAAGAACCCAAGGTCCAGTATGTTAAGAGCAGGAGAATTAAGGGGCTGGTTAGTTAGTATAATATTAAACCCATCTGCTTTTGAGGCTGCCATAAAATCTGGGTCTGAATGTAGAATGTGTGGCCTTGCATTGTCTTGTTGAATTATAATGTCATTTCTTAACTGTTCAGGCCATTTTTCCTTGATGCTCGGCAACACAGTGTTGATAAGCATGTCTTCAAACACAGTTTTTGTAATGCTAAGTACATGTTTGGTTTCCATTACCCCGGCATCCCTATTCTTGTTTTTCCTTTTTGCTGCCACTTTCTCAATGAATGGAAAAATGCCAATTTTCCCATACCAAATTACTTCACCATTGTTTGTAAACAGGGGCCTCCCTGCAGCTCATAGTGACATGACCTTGGTAATGAATCTCTTAGACTTGCATACCCTGTGTGGATCCAATTCATCCTGCCTCATGTAGTATCTTTGTGATGTTTTTGACAAGAAAAACCATTTCTCATCAATGTGTATGACATTATGGAAATTTTTGAACACTAGTTTAGATGGTATGGATTTGTCAATTTGTCTTGAACATCACATTAGTCTGTGACTTTTATTTGCATCACTTAGCAAAGGCTTGATAGCATTTGCATGACTTCTAAGCACTTTTCTCTGAACCAATCTCTAAATACTTGACTTTTTGAAACTGAAATGGCTGAAGCAAGTGCCCTTATGTTAGTCCTTTTGTGCAAAGGGATTTATGATATGTTGGTTACATCAAACAACACTCTTTTTCTGGCAGAATTTCCTAGCCACTTGGTTTTTACATCTATAGCTTCCATCTTCTCAATATGCTCTTTAGCTTTGCTCCAGATCTTGAAAATTGTTCTTCTTGTCACTGAATATTTAGTGGCTAGCTGACTTAGAACACCTTTGTGAACTGTCACCTCCCCATAATCTTTTCTTGTTGCATTGATTAGAATTTCATCAACTATACTTTCTCATTCAATGTTTTGGAGTCTTTTTGCTTTGATATTTGAGCTTTGATCATTTGTTGGTGTGTGCAGGAGGTCATTTACTCTAGTTGGTGCCTCCACATCAATTAATGCAGCTGGAGAAGAAGATGCAGCTGGAGAAGAAGATGCAGTGAGGGAGGAACAGCTCTGTCCGCCACTGCTGTGTGCAACCATTAATGCTACGTGTAGTG